ATGTGAATTCGGGAGAATTCAGACTTTACCAGTGTGGGCAGTGTCCAAATTGGGGTTCGTGCCGTTGGATGGCTCATACACACACTCATGTAGGAGTCGTTACGAAACTATTGTCGAGTACAATGTGAAAAACTTCGAACTGAATTGATATGTTCGAGTTCTTACAATGTGAACTAAAAGTAAAATAAAAAAAATGCAAGAAATCTTGAAGCGAAAAGACAACAAGTCGAGAAAAGAGTTGCTCTTTTTATAAGATGAATACGTCATGTAACGTGTTGACGGATTTAAGCGTTTTGTCCTCAAAGATATAATGGTTATGTCTCTGAAGTTGTATCACTCTCAGACTTACTAGCTCCGACGAACGTGAATGAAGTCAAGTACTGAGAACGGGTAGGTACTAAGTCTACCGTTTTCAAGTGTGTTAACAAACCACTAACTTATCATGGAGTCAATAATGTCCAAATTCAATGAACCTGGTACAGGTCACACGGATTAAATCCAAACCCGAGCCCAAAAACTCAATTCAGGTGGACCAAAAGTTTGCAATAAATTTGCAGCAAAAAAATTAGAGGGTTAGCTAAGTCCAACCTAAGTACCAAGGTCCAAGGCCAAGGCCCATGCGCGAGTGCGCCAGCATATAGCCAAAGTCAGTACCAACACTTGGTATACAGTTTCATTGTTATGATCTTTTCGATTCTCTTTATTATAACTAGTATGCAATTCGTGCTATGTACAAACTACATTTATCATGGACTTTTAGTTATCATACATAGGTTAGTTGTCCAATTATAAATTGTTCAACGGGAAAATATCTTATATTATTAACATCCTTGTACACAATGTTATTAGTTTGATTTTTTGGATGAACACAACAAACATGTAACAAAAATGACTTTCAATTTTAAAGTGATTTTGGAAAAAAAAAATATGAAAATGGTGATTCACATATATAGTGATCAATATTATGATTTAAATATTTTATTGTATTACGAAAAATTCCGCGAAAAGGGATTTAGGCAATATTAATTTTAAATCTTTGGATTTTTATTATGAAAATTATGATTCACATATACGGATGATATAGATTACGGCTCAAATGTTTTATTGAATCATGAAAAATATAGGCTGAAAAATGATTTAGGCAATAAATTATTCTCAAATCATGAATTGTTATTATGAAATTGTGATTCACATATACGATTGATATAGATAGCTTATGGCTCAAATATTTGATTGAATCACCAAAAAAATCAGGCTAAACAGGATTTACGCTATAAAGTGTGGCTGAGAAAAGACCGCATTAATATTTTTTATTTACGATATATTTATAGATTTTTTTTTCAACGATAAAAAAACTTCATTAAACCTCAAGAGAAATACAGAAACGAGGAACCAACTAGTTGCTAATAATCCACAGGAGAAAACCAAACAAGAATCCCCTTAACACCCGACAAGCTACCAGAGCTCAAACGGGACAACTAATACTAGTCACTACAACATCAAACACAGAAAAGGAAATGAACACATCAAGGAATAAACATCTTCAGCAACAATGCTACAACAAGGTTCAAACTGCAGCTTGTTGTTATCAGCGAAACAGTTGATAATAAACACAAGAGACAAACAAATAAAAGAGAATAGAAAATAGAAAATTCAATTAAATCTCATAAACCAAGTAGAACCAAGTTTAGATTCATCCTTCGGCTTGGAAAATAGATTAGTCACCCATGAATAAGATACTCTTCTCCAAATTATTTATAAAATGTAAGTAAAAAATAAGAAATAAGAAATACTATGTTTGGTAAACTTTGTTGATATGTTAGTTGATAGTTTATAAGTGAATTTTGAGCTTATAATTGATAGCTTCTGGCTAAATAGCTAGCTTATATGGTAAAAGTATTTGATAAAATTACTTTATAAGCCAAGTGAAATAAAAAATTCAAATGATTTATTTGAAAAACTGTCCAAGGAGGCATATGATATAAGGTCGAGTTTAAAAAAAACTACCAAACTAGTTTATTTGAATATTGGAAGTTTATAAGTGAATCAAATAAGTTCTATAGTTAGCTTATATTGTTAACCAAACACACTCGAAAAGGTCTGACACTTACCATGAGGAAGAGAAGAAAAAGAGTAGAAATAAATAATCTAATTGTCCGGTTTTAATCAAACAATTTAATTTTAATCCTAATAGAAAATACATAAAAAATAATAAGGAAAAAGTTCTTTCTTCAAAATATTCTAATAAAATAAAAGGTACATAAATAAAAATGACTCAATAAAGTCTTGTTATTTTCTTTCCCACTTAAAACTCTTCTATTCTTTCAACTCTTGTAGAAAATTCGTTTCTGTTTTTAGTTTTTACACTTCAATAAAACAAAATATTAATCTTTTCCCAAATTCCAAGATTTTTTACAAAGAATCAGTTAGAAACACAAATAAGATGAAACAAAACCTCCAAAATCACAAAATATTCATCATTTCCAAATTTCAAGATTTCGTATAAAAAATCAACTAGAATGCTAAAACAAATATCCACAAAACAAAAATTCCAATATTCCTTATAAAAATATTGAAAATTAATTTGAAATATACAATTAAGCTCAAACAAACATCAACAAAGTATGAAAACCATAACTAACATGTCAATAACATAACCTATCAACGTCAACCTTAATTATTACATTTGTTGACGGGCGTTTCCGGTCAACGGTTAAAAAGTCAAATAATGGAAAGAAAACGGAAAAAAGACAAGGAAATACGGTTTAATCACGGTTTTATTAACGGGTCACGAGGTCGGCCTCTCGTACGAGGTCGGCTCTTGTGATATACTTATATTGCTTACAGAGGTTTCTTACAAATTCTTTAGAGAGAGAAAATATGAGCTCGAGTAGTTGGGATTTCAACAACCCAAAAATAAATGAGGGGGTTGCTATTTATAGGAGACTTTAATGCGGTACTGTTTGGGTACTGTTCAGCGGTCTTGTCGCACAGTAGCTCAACGGGACAAACCGGCGCTTCTCTGACTGATTGAGAGTAATTTCCGGATTCACCAATCATTACCTGCCATACATTTAATGCGAACGTGGGCTGCATTAAATGCGGACACGTTCTGGCTGAGTTGGACGTCCCATCGGCAATCATGCATAGACAAGTGGCATTATTTTATTGTGTCCGACGTCATACTTCTATCAGGAGCCGCCCTTGCGAGGCTGGGAATAAGGTGCCGATCTCGTAACCACACGGATTCGGTGCCGATCTCGGAACTGGTTCTCCCCACCGTCCCAGACAACTTTGACTCTCCTTCAGCTCGGCACCCACGTGCGATTTTGGTGTCCGGCTCCTTCGGCTCGGACCGGTACCTACGTAGGGTCCGGACTCGGATATCAACAACATTTTTAACTCAAATCCACTAACAAATTTAAATCAAATCTAAATTTTTGCCCCATCGATTTTTTTCATCCTCAACTCACTTCATCCAATAAATCAAATCTAACCCAAAACAATTGATGTAGGGGAGCGTACGAGTGGGAAAGATACACGAGTAAACGAGATACTCTCTCGTAAAACACGCAAGACTCACAATCTCTAATCTTATTTCATATTCAAAATCAACTAATCAAAATAAACTAGAGGAAGTCCTTTATATAAGGCTCCTAACCCTAAACCTTAACTTGTCCAACAAGACAAGAACTCTTATTAAATATTAAACAATAATATTAAATTATTAACTTACTCTCTAAGACACCTATTAAATAATAATAATAATAATAATAATAATAATAATAATAATACTCTACACCATTCTCCCCCGGTTCGGAAGGCTTCGCCCTCGAAGCCGACGCGCTCCCGTGGCTGGTGTAGAGGCGAACTCATGGTATTAATCCCCAACGTTTTCCCCTGTCGAACACGAAGGTTGAATATCGCACCTCCATGGTATCACCCCCTTGAAATTCATGGAAAGGCATATATGCAGTAGCCACACACAGAATTTTGAAGTCACTGTGGGGACCAAAAAACAGCATACAAGGCCGTAACAAATTCCCGTGAGAGAAAAGCTCGGGTCTGCGCAACAGAAGAACTACTAATTCTTCCAACAGCTGAATTTCGATATCCGGAACATGATGAAATTCCTCTGCCCTCGGAGGCTCCTCATCGAAAATCGACGGACTGTCATAGAGACCGTCCACTTCGCCAGTAAGACACTGCTCCACCTCCTCGGGTCCTTCATCAAACACCGGCGGACCATCGTACAATGGCTCGTCAACTTGCTCTTCGTCGAATTCGAAGATGTCAACGCGAAACGGACCCTCCCATTGACCATATTCGCGATCAAATCCCCAATCGTGTCTGGCACGATATCCGCTGGCGAAGGCAGCCTCCTCGCGCCTGCCTCTATCGTCGCGTTGATCGTCGCCATCCACTAAGACCGAGCCCCGTCGCCGCATGTCACGGCCGCTGTATGCAGTGAATGGGTCAGTCTCGACGTGCGGGGGTGGAAAATCGTTGAAGGGATTCACCTCCAAGATTGTCTCCTCGCTGTCTTCGTCGCCGGACGGTGGTTTTGGAGATCTCCGGCAGGGCGCCCCGCTTGGACCACGGCCTTCACTTCCTCCGCGAAATCCCCCGCGCACGCCCCGATTGTCGGCGTCACGGTACGTTTCCTTGTCCCGAACCATGGTACGAATAGTTAG